CGCGGCCAGCCGGGCGCTGCAGCAGTGCGGGCAGCTCCAGAAGCTCATCGACATCTCTATCGGCAGCCTGCGCGGGCTGCGCACCAAGTGCGCTGTGTCCAACGACCTCACCCAGCAGGAGATCCGGACCCTGGAGGTAAGGGGGTCGGGGACCCGGGCTGGGCTCGAGAAGCGGCCCGGACACCGCCCTCCGGGCCCCAGTTCACTCCTGGCCGAGTTGCATCCTTGAGCCCGCGTCGCCCCCGTGGAGGCTTCCCCTCGCTCCTGCACTCGCTGATGCGGCAGCCGGAGGACCCAGGACCAGCCCTCACCTTGGGCAAGATTTGTGGGGCGGGTGCGTGCTGGGAACTGGGATAGAGGCTCGAGGGGCCCGTGGGCGGAGTGGGCTGCGCGAGGACATCCCCTTTCCTCCCTTCTCCGCCCCCACCCCATTTGCAGTTTGTGGGGCCGCAGGACTCGTTGTCCCACTGAGTCACAAGCTGGACTTTTCCCTGTGTGACTGAGCCGAGCACCCGTGGGCCAGGGTGACGAAGGAGGTTCCCCTGAAGCGTGATCGCAGGCCTGTCGTCCCCTGTTCCCCTCTAGCCCTAGACGCCGTCCTGTCCCTTCCTTTCCTCTCCTCCCAGGTCTTGTCTGCCGCTTTTCAAAAAGTGTTGCTGAAACTGCATTTTTGCTATTCAGGCGTTTGGTGCTTTCCTTTCACGTTGCCACAGAGGCTCGCTGCTTAAAATGTATTAATAATTACCCGCCGACTCCCCCTGCTTCCCCCCAAAGATTGGATTTTGGCTTAGGAAGGATTATGCTGGGGAAGCAAGCCTTTGGTGGGAAGATGACACTGTTTAAGGGGTTCTGATGGAGACAGCCTGGAGTGTAAAGAAGAAATAAGATATGCGGGCCTTCCTCTCTCAAATTATAGCTGGGAAGTATTAGAAGGATTTGGAAAAAGCAGCCCAAGGGTTGTTGGGGCACCCTGTCCATACACAATGAGGGCAACTAGTGGATTCCAAATGTGATTTTGGCCAGGGACGGGGCGGTGAAACGTCAGACCAGTTAATAGCTGCCCCGTCTTGAACAAGGAACCTCTCACCATCTTGCCCTGCCACATCTGGCCTCCTGCAGGTCTGGGGATGTTTTGTTTTATTAGATCCTCAATTTCTCCTCCCCCTAAACCCTCCCCCCGCCCCTTATTGCTAATTGCCTCTGCCAGCTGTCATAAGGCCCTCTGTGATTGTGGTAATTATTACAAGACCAATCCTTCCTCCAGGCATGCCACAAGCCTGAATCCTTGTTTGATCCCAAGTGCTCGGGGGTGCCTCTCCCTCAGTTTTATTTTCTTAAAAGCTATAAAACCACAGGACGTTGGAAGAATACAGTCAGTGCTGGGTATTATTATTTTTTATTACAGTTGCTAAAGCTGTACTGACCAAGGCTTTGCTTAAAAAACAAACAAAACCCCCTACAACCGGCCTTTCTGCATGCATGCTGCAGTTTTCCAAGTATTGAGAGAAACTGATTTTTTGAACACAGCTGAGTGTGTTTGCCCAGCAAAGTTCAGTTTTTAAGCTGACACAATAGGGGGCCTGTGAGGCTCAGTTCTGGGAGGAGGGGGTCGCTGTCCGGCAGAGTGTGCGTGGTTGGACTGCGGTGTTACTGGGTTTGGAGAATGCTCTCTGTGTTGGCCTCTGTGGGATTGTCCCCACGTTGCTCTGAAGTGCTCCTGGCTCCCAGAGTATGTATAGGAGAACCACTTGCTGTGCATTCTCTGGAATGGCTTTTTGTCCTACCCTAACTTCCAGAGTCTCTCATTTTGATGGCAGTGTGGCGTTCATGACACCCTAGAGCATCCAGCTATTTAAGTCTTGGAGCTGGTTTATTCAGTGGCTTCCCTCCTGAGTGTTTGTTTAGACAATCATCCCTGGTGGCAGAGAACTCATCCGAAGGCCCACAGGGGATTTGCAGCTCCCTCCTCTTCCCACCGTGATGTGGATTCGGGTTCACCCACTTCCTGAAAAGGCAGGGCTTGGGTTGTTTTGGGGGATGGGAATTTAGACCCCTGGAGCGAGTTCCATGGGGCTGCCACCAGCTAGTTTGGATGAGTCACTTCATCCCAGAGGCCTCAGCCTCCTCACCTGCAAAACAAGGAGGCTGGAGTGGATCTCTGAGGGCTCTGGAGGCTCGAAATTCTCTGGGTTAGAGAATGAGACTTGGTTGGGTGAAATCAAATGTTTGTGATTGTTTTTATACTACCCCTGTTTAAGAATAACCCTCTAAGAATGGTTCTAAAATACAGATTTACTGAACCCATAACATAGGGGTTAAGTTTATTATAAGAATCTTTGCCATAGGAGCAGCGTGGTGAACAGGAAGCCCCATGGATTTCATATTGGGCCTAGGTTCTGTCTGTGTGACCTTAGGCAGGTCCCATGACTTCTGAATCTCAAGCTCTCCTGTACGTAAAATACAAACAAGACTGCTCACACCTGCAGCGTTTTGTCTGTCAGTCCATGCTGTTACTACCAAAAGAGTCTGCCTGGCAGCTTTCCCTAGGGAGGGTCCAGTAGCGTTTATGGCACAGGCCACCACTAGGGAAACAACCCCTACTAGACCCTCGCTAGGGAGACTTAACCCCTACTTTATGGATCAGTAAATCTGGATTTTAAGGAAAGGTACTTCTGCAGCTGCCTCTCATTTCATACAGGCGAGTGACACAAGCCAGGAAACAATCTCAGCAAGCTGGGTGGGGCCGTCCACCCCCAGCAGCTTGTGTTGGGGCCAGGTGGGCCAGTGGCAGTGTCCGCTCCAGCATTCTTTCCTGTTCTGTGGGCTCCTCACACACACACCAGCTCATAACCTCAGAGACTGTGCTTGCCACACTGGATTCCTGGCTTTTGAAGAAGGATCTGACCGGGAGGGCTTGGCCTGTGTAACTGTGTCGGACTTATCTAGAATCTTAGGAGCCCCAACTCACTCTGGCCTTCATTATATAAGCACTCAGTGGGAGAAGCAGCATGTGAGATGTCCGTGGAGGTCCCTGACTGGAGATGGGCTGCTGCTGCCTGAAATCGTGTTGTGATGGGGTGTGGGGGGTCAGCGTGTCTGGTTGCCTGGGGATAGCTTTTCTCTGTGTCGTGGTCCAGTTTGTATGGCAAAGGGTAGAAGGAGCTGACTTAACGTTTGCTGCCTATGTGCCCAGCAGTGTACCTGACTCTTCTCAATCTCACACACGTTCCTGGAGATCAGCAGTCTTCATCATACACATTTTCCCTCTCTAAATAGAAAGGGAGGGAGGCACAATCTGAAACCAGAGTCTTAATCTGTAAACAGTTGTGAGGCTACTTCATCATGGCAGGACCTGGTGTTCTGTCTCTGCTAGACCCTCCTTGGGGTCTGAAAACTCCACCGAGCCAAACGGGAATGTTCTTATGCCCCAGATATGCTCACAGAGGGACACCTGGCCTGCCTCATAGCTGGGCCTGCAACCTATGCCAGTAATAATTACCTTCATTCCTTTGAATCTGGCCAGTGCTGGGGAGACAAGGGTGTGTAGAAGCAGACACATGTTACCTCATGGAGATGTACGTTCCAGGGACATTGTGACTTGCCCTTTCCTGCCAGCCTACTAGTACTTTCCAGAGACAGGCTGTGCCGTGCTGAGTCTCCCCACCTTGTGTTCTTGTGGAGAAAAATCCCTCCTAAGCAGGCTGATGTGGAGAAAGGGGCTGAAGGACTTCGACCATCAGGCTTTGCTGGAGGAGGTGATGTTGGGAACTGTGGTAGGTGCAGAGGGGAGGCAGTATTGGGAACTGTGGTAGGTGTAGAGTCAGGCTGTACTGGAGGCAATATTGGAAACTGTGGTAGGTTCAGTCTCTGCCCTTGGGCCGCTTTCCTGAGCAGCTGCCCTGGAGCCGCAAGGGGTCAGAAGGGAGGCCCTCCTGCCACCTGGAAGGTCAGAGAGACCTGGCCCTCACACAGCTCTGCTGTGGCAGAGGTCAGAGCCCTGCTATGTGGGGGACCTGAGCTCTCCCTATGCCTCCTAGGAGCATCTGACGATGGAACTGCTGGGAGAGGGGAGGGGTGGCATGCCTGCAGATTGGGTCCTTAGGGTGTGTGGAGGCACGTTTCCTGGACAGACCTTTAGTTACTGTCGATGTGCTTACCTGGCTGGCTGCCACCTAGCAAGGGCTCTGAAGTAGGTGGGCTACTCTCCCAGTCTTTGGGGTTTAAGGACACTTCTAGTCTAATGAAGGAGCCAGGCAGGGCACAGTAATGACTCTAGTATCACAGCTTGCAGGACCCTGCATTGGGAACCCCACTGAACCCTTGGTCCATCCAACCTCCTGTTTTTTTTGTTTTTGTTTTTGTTTTTAGTCAGAGTCCCACTCTGTTGCCCAAGCTGGAGTGCAGTGGCATGATCTCGGATCGCTGTAATCTCCACCTCTCAGGTTCAAGCAATCCTGCCTTAGCTTCTGAGTAGCTGGGATTACAGGCATTCCTCACTATGTCCAGCTTATTTTTGTGTTTTTAGTAGAGATAGGGTTTCGCCGTGTTGGCCAGGCTGGTCTTGAACTCCTGGCCTCAAGTGATCCACCCGCCTTGGCCTCCCAAAGTGCTGTGATTACAAGTGTGAGCCACCTCCTGGTTTTCTGGGAAATATTCCCAGAGTCTTGGGGACTTCTACCAAGTGGCAGGTCCCTGGCAGAAAGGAGACTGAAACCTGGTTTTCCTTTCCCAGCCAGCCACTGTCTCGAAGTGTGGCGTTTCTCTGCTTCTGCTCTGTGGCCACAGTTGTAACCCTCTGACCAAGTGGCTCCAGCCATCTCTGAAGAGATACAGAGCTGGGGCTCTGGCCCCTTTTGTGTCCACTTTCACCTGGGTAACTTTTTCCCTACCTCCCAAATGTTTCTCAGAGGCAGCCTAGAGGGGGACCCGCAGTGGCTGTGAGCCTGGGGAGGGCTGGGTGGTGCTGGAGAGAGGTCTTATCAGATCTGCAGCTTGGGTTGACGTGGGTGCCAGGAGGTGTGGTTTGCTGCCTGCAGCTATGGGAATGCCTTCTTCCACGTCAGGGTTGTTTCCTCTTCTTGGAGTGGTCTGGGCTGCCTCAAAATCCAGGAAAGTGGCATTCTGCACCACAGGTAT